ACTCAACCTGGACTCACACAATTCAGCTCCTCTGCTGTGCCTTTACCTCAATGATACCCATTCTGCTCTGCTCTTACCTCAGACAAGGGCTGCCATCTCAATATATTTGTTAGGTCCTAGAGTTCATAATAAAAGCTTACTTGCCCCCAGATATAAGCCAGCTCTCTAGAGTCAAATATATTCATAATAGAAGGAAATTTTTGATCCCTACTTGTCTCACCCCTTTGTCCTATGTCTCTGTTAGTTCAGGACTTGGTAGTCAGAGTATTATTTATTTATGGAGTCCTTTTCCCCACATTCCACTACCTCAGTATTAGAAGCAAACTTTTCTTCACTGACCTTGTTTCGTCCCATATATGTCCTCTTCTGCAAGTCACTCAGACAAGCTTCCCTATTCTTTCCACATAACATGCTAGTAACTCTCTGCACATCCCCAGGCCATACCTGTTACAGTTTAGATCTTACATGCCCCCCAAGGCAGTAAGAAGCCCGTCCCCAGAGACTGACCTAGAAGGTGTTCAGGCCTATACATCTCTGGGTCTTTGAGAACAGGCTCTTGGACAGGAATGAGGGATGCTGGTTTCTTCCTTCTTTTACTAACACAAGGTAAACAGTTTTGTTCTGACAGGCACTATTGCCACAATATACTGCCATACTCAGAAGCCATGGGCTTACACCTAGGAAACCCTCAATCAAAACAAATCGTTTTTCTTTATGTGTTAATTACCTGTGTATGTGTATGGTGGCACACAGCTGACAACACCCCATGAGAAACCCCTGCATTTACCCTCATCTTTTTCTTCTGCTATTCACTCAATTTTATTTCTAAGACTAGCCTTTGACTTTCCCACTGGTGTGTCTACTTACTGGGAGCCATCTGTAACCTGTTTTCCTCTTTGCCCTCTATTCTCTCTCAACTTTTGTTGTTCCCATGGAGGTAATTGTAGTGGTTTTAAATGTGTTTCCTTTAGTTGGATGTAGTAGTGCACACCCTGAATCACAGTTATCAGAAGGCAGAGGTAGACCAATGTCTGTGAGTTCCAGGCCAGCCTGGTCTACATAGTTAGTTCCAGGGCATCTAGAGCTTCACAGTATGAGACCCTGCCTCAAAACCTAAAACCAAAACCAAAGAAAAACACAAGTGCTTCCTTTTCAGTCTTGACAAGCTACGGAGTGCAGCTCAAAAGTAAAGTGTGTGCTTAGTACTCAATCTCCAGAATCCAAACAAACCCTGCCCCTAAAAAATCTGCACACCAGGCTGGAGAGATGGCTCAGTGGTTAGGAGTGCATAGTTCTCTTGCAGAGAACCTGAGTTTGACTCCCAGCACTGGAACTGTGTGACTGACAGCTACCTGTAACTCCAGCTGCAGGCAATCTTATACCTACTGTGTACTGTATGTGTACTCACATACATATACCCACATACTGGCACACAAACATACTCATAATTAAAAATAAAATAATAAAAATAAGTCTTTAGAAAAAATCTATCTGTAAACCTTAATGAGGTTGTTTCAAAATATGGCTTACAATCATTTTAAAGGATTTATTTACTTAAGATTCAGCTTTACTGTCATTTTGACAAAAAAAGAGTAACAGGCAATACTTAAGTACACAGTGAACTAAAGGTGTTACTTGGGGACTGTGGAAGACTGTGTAAGATGTCAGTGCTAGAAAAGTGATGAAAAAGTCAATATACAAATTCACTTAAAGCTAGGCGGTAGTGGTATGCCTTTAATCCCAGCACTTGGGAGGCAGGTGGATCTCAGTGAGTTTGAAGCTAGCCTGGTCTACAAAGCAAGTTCCAGGACAGCCAGAGCTGTACACTGAAACTCTGTCTCAAAAAAAAACCAAACCAAACCAAACCATACAAAAATCACTGGAAGGGGTAACCAGAGATAGCACAGCTTCTCTAAGTCATATGGTGTTTGTTTGACTGGTTTCAGCAGAATATTCTACCATTTGTCTTACATTTGGATAGTCTTAACCCGGTACTATGCTCAGCACTAAAGGACAACAACTTGGTAACTGTTAATTACTATGTGAATAAGATCAGTCACATTCTGTAAATTTCCTCTATACAACAGAAATAACGCTGGAGTTTTCAAGGCCTTCTAGGCTCCAGCCCTTGCTCTCTCCAGCCCTACCCATTTGCTTTCATTGTTCCTAGCATATTGAACTACTTCCTGCTTCACCAATATGCCAGACTGGTTCAGGCTTCTGCATTTCTGTTCATCTTCTTCCCTCTGTCTCTCTCTCCTGTGGTGCCACTCTAAGGTACACACTACCTCTCACTCAAAGGTCAGCGAGTGTAAAGTATTCCCTGACCCATCTCCAAGTAGAAGAGATTGTTTCCTCAGTGGGGCCTGTCTGAATTCCATTATGAACCTTTAACATTTTTCTGGATTTATTTGCTCACAGAGATTCTCTATATAACAGGGATGTTCCTGAACCTTGATATCAGATATTAGATCTTATTAATCGCCGTATTCAGTCTACTGAAAACTGTGCACCTGCAGCAGGGCATAGTGGCATACACCTTTATTAATCCCAGCACTTGGGAGGCAGAGGCAGGTGGATCTCTAAATTCAAGGACAGCCCAGACTACAGAGAGAGTTACAGGTCAGCCAGGGTTACACAGAGAAGCCCCATCTTGAAAAACAAACAAAACAAAACAACAACAAAAATATGCACCAGTCATATGATGGATATTCAATGAGTTTCTGTGTAGAAATGAATGAATTAACCAATTGAAGTGCTTTTTATGAAAAATGAAATGTATGGGGCTAGAAATAGGGCTCAGCAGTTAAGAGCACCCATGTGGCAACTCACAACCAGCTGGAACTAGTTCCAGAGGAACAGATGCCCTCTTCCAGGCCTTGTGGACACAAAGCACACACATTCCAAATTTACAAGCAAAACCCCAACACATATAGAATAAAAATAGTTTTAAAATGTTGTTTCCTAGCTCTGATGTGCTACTGTTCAGGAGGGAGCTGTAGATAATGACAATGCACTGTATTTTTACAAACTTGACGGGGCCACAAAGATGGCTCAGAAGGTAAGATGGCCCACTGCTCTTGCAGAAGACAGGAGGTAAGTTCCCAACTCCCACGTGCAGTTCACAGCACTTGTCACTCCAGCACTTGTCTAGCTATGAGCATCTGCGCTAACGTTATATACCCCTCTCTCACACAATTAAAAACAAATCTAAAAAGAAAAAGCTAGAGAAAGATTACCATGTTTTCATGATGACAATTAGAACTGTTTGAGGAAACAGGTTTGCTTATCTCAACTTAAACATCACACAATGCTTATATGCCTCAAAACAGCACATGTACCCTTGTAAGTATGTAAGATTTTCCTATTTTTATATATCTGTTTTAAAAAACTCTTCGAAGTTTTTAAGAAGCCTCAGAGTTTGCAGACAAGACTGTAGATGCTGAACAGCACTAGTGTAAAACAGTGGATGACTAGTAGTGCAGTAACAGCAGGGCTTTTCAATTTGGATGGGAAAGATCCCACAGAGGAACCAGGAGGAAGGCCAGCAGGAAAGCTAAAGCAGCAGAATGTCTCTTCTATCGTCTAAACGCTGACAGAAGAAAACAGCAGCAACCAAGACACAAAACCAGAACAAACCACTGCTTATCTAGAAAACAACAACAAAAGGTCTTACAGAAGAGTTGGGCAATGTTGCTGGTACCGAGTTTGTCTAGCAGGAGGAAAGCCTTGAGTTTGATGCCAGCACCACCAAAGAAAAGCCAACTGAAGACACGACTTACAGAAAAGGATTCCCCATCTGTAAAAGAACGCAGACTCAGATTGAAATTACGTTTTGAAGGTTTCTATAGGCCCCAAGATGTCAGGAGTAGGCTCAGTAGAGTGACTGTTAAATCTCTTTTAGAAAGCAAATGTGGGCTGGAGCAGTAAGAACTGCTCACTTAAGTCTGCAATTGCTAATCCTAATGACTAACTTCTTACTACAGGATAAGGCATCCAGTATCCATATCACTACAAATGCCAGTGCATTTTGTGAGTCTGTCTGAGTGTGGTGTTGGGGCTTGAACCCACACATCAGGCACTGTAGGCAAGCACTCTGCAACTGAGCTATATCTCCCCGTCTTGACACCAGTATATTTTAAAGAAAACAGCTAAGTAAGAATGCAAAAAGCTGATGTTATGGCCATATTTTGTCTTCTGAAAGGATGCAGAAAACCTGGGGCTGGAAAGGTAGCTTAGTTAACAGCATTTGTTGTTCTTACAGAGGACGTAGGTTCAGTTCTCAGTGCCCACATGGCAGCTAACAACCATCTGTAACTCCAGTTCCAGAGGATTCAACACACTCCATGGGTACTACATACATATACACAGACATGTATGCAGGTAAAAAACACCCATATACATGATATAAAAATAAATTGCCAGATGTGATAATGTGCGTCTTTAATCTGAGCACTTGGGAGGCAGAAGTAAACAGATCTTTGTAAGTTTGAGGCCAGCCCAGTCTACATAGTTGAGTTCTAAGACAGCCAGGGTTATGTAAAGAGATCTCGCCTCAAAGAAACCATAAATTTAAAAAATTAAATAAATCTTTTAATTCTGAATTTATATATATATATATATATATATATATATATATATATATATATATACACATATATAATATATATATTAATGTTTATTTATTTGTTTGTCTCTCTGTATGAGTGTCTGCCTACATGTTCATCTGTGCACATTTGTGCCTAGTGCCAGAGAAGACCAAAAGAGGGCATCAGGTCCATTGTACTAGAGTTACAGACAGTTGTGAGCTACAGCGTGGGTACAAGGAATCAAAGGCAGGTCATCTGGAAGAGCAGCCAGCACTGTTAATCGGTGATCCATCTCTCTAGCCTCTAAATAAATCTTTTTTAAAAGAGGAATTCAAGAAAGAAGCCCTCCCATACACTCTCCCTCTTTTTAAGATGAAGACTCCTGATTTACTGCCAATTTTAAAAACTTACCTCTGACAGTATCCTGGGGAAACTGAGACGATCAGTCTAGGTTACATTCAGTGCAAAAAGCCAAAACCCTGAAGAGAAAAAAAATCACAATGAGCCATAGAGATGATGTAAGATGCCAGAAGAAGCGGCAGAACAGGCAGCAGATGGTTTCATCTGAATCCACTCTTTCTTTCATTTGGAGTTGGTGGGCCAGTAGCCTAACTCAGCAAACATCTTCCTCAAGGGCTTCTTTAAAGTTAAATGAAGTACGAGTAAAATCCACATATAATGCAAGGTGCCAAAGACCCATTCAATAAAGGCCAGGTTGTAATAAAAAATGTACAGCAAAGGCTGGGATAAAGCTCTCCAGTGCAGCACTTGCCTATGTGTGAGGCCCTGGGTTCCATCCTAACAACACATGAAAACACAACAGTCTCTGAAGTGACATTAAAATCTATATTCAATCTTTATGCCTTTCTTTTCAAACAAACTGATTTTTTAATTATTATCATTGTTGTTTGCATGATGTGTTTGTGTGAACCAGTACAAGTATGCAACAAGATGGTAAGAGGACAACTTTCAGAAGTCAGCTCTCTCCTTCCACCTGGATGTGGGATCCAGATTAAACTCAGGTGGTTAGGCAAGCACCCTTATGTACTGAGCATCTCACTGGCCACAGTATCTCCCATATGAACCACAACAATGACTAGCATGGGATCATAACCCCAAGAGTTCAATAGTGACATATGTACCTTGGCAGCAACCAATAGCCCTCTAATTGATTTCAAGGCCTGCTCAACCTGGTACTGGAATCTTAAGCTATTACGTGGAGCTAGTGAGGTCATGAATCTTGGAGGAGAATCTACAACCACCACTTTACTAAACACACATAATCCCTAAGAATGTTCTAAGTATCTGTCCTTATAGGTAAGTGTACCTATAATCTCTAACTATGTTCTAAGTATATGTCCTTATAGGTAAGTGTACCTCTCACCCCTCATCAAAGAAACTTCTCTTTGCAACTCATGGAAATCATTATTAAAAAAAAAAATTAAAAGCCTTCAATCCCAGCACTGGGGGGGGGGCAGAGGCAGACAGATCTTTGTGGCCAGCTTGGTCTACAAACTGAGTTCAGGATAGTCAGAGCTCTGTTACATAGAGAAACCACGTCTGGGGGGTTAGGGGAGGAGGAGTAAGGAGGAAAATACAATCAAAATACAGAGAGCAAGAAAGCATATAATGCCCATTCCCAACTGACATAGCTACAATACAATTCTTATACCTAAGCTCAGGGCTCATTTGGAAGAGGGGCCAGAAAAATTAATTGCTTCTCCTTAGAAATTTAGTAAGACTATACTCCTTAAGTCTCAGCAACATGGATGCCTACACAAGATCTGCACAATTATGACACCAACGGTCGTACTAACAGGGAATGGGGAAAGCATGTAGACCTCAACCCTACAAATGCTATGAGCAACCGAGGAATGCTCAGAGTAGGAGAAATGATCTTTCCCTAGGAAGAGCCCCATATAATACCCTGAAAGTAAACAGCCCTGAAACCATATACATATATAGCTTGAGCAAAATGTACTTACATATTCAGGAACATACACACACACCAATAATTAAAGATAAGCCATGAACTGAGAAACAATGGGGGAGGGGTGTGTGTTATGCATAGAAAAGATTAAGAGGAAAAAAGAAAAGGTGGGAAGTGATGCAATTATATTATAATTTCAAAGAATAGATTTTAAAAAGATACTGTTTCTCTATGTAGCCAGGCTGGCCAAGAATTCACAATCCTCGCTTCAGTTTCCCAAGTGCTAGGACTACAGGCATGCCACAATACAAACAAATCTTTACTATTTCTTACTTTATCTTCTATCTACCTCAAAAATACCAAATTGCCCTTTCAATGTCTCCATCTTGATGTCTCATAATCACTTGACTAAAACTCTACCTTTACCCTGCCTAGACTGTTCCTCTCCTTCTTCACTGTCTTCATGAAGGCCTAGATTTCTGATCCTAAGTTCACCTCAAGTAATCTCATCTTCCCAAAGCCCCTCACACAAGCCCATCAATGAGTGCTGGCATTTATGCTTTCAAAATTTGCATCTCAGATCCTCCCACAATTCTTGATTTTCACTGTCGTCATAGCTTCCCCTTCAAAGGCTCTGTTCCACTCTTGTTCCTCCCTAATTCACTGCCAAATAACGGTTGGCATGATCTCTTGAATTTAGTTCATTACCAGCAGCTAATAAAGGCAGAAGTGACTTCATTTTCTGATGGCAAGTCTCTCTCCTGCTCAGGATGCATCTGCTTTGTGTTTCGAGATGGGCAAAACAAGCGCCAGTCCAGGCTGTCAGAAAACTGTCTCTATCTGGAAGTTGCCCACTTGGTTTCACAACCAACTTTGTGCTATATTTATGAGAGGTCATGCCTTCCCATGGCAATGCAGTATAAGAGGATAACTTTAAGTCCCCAGTATGTCACAATAGTTAAAGTGGTAGTTTATTGAATGACTATATCTACCATTACCTCTGTTTACTGCACTTAACTGTTAAAACCAATACACCAATGATGTTGCAAACAGAATTAGGACTATCCCCATTACTCCCTCATCCTTCTGCTATAAAACATTGTTGTTACAACAATCTCAAAAGCAAATCTGATCTTTGTGTATGTTGTGGCTTAAACTGAGTCGGTAAGTATTCACTATCTTTAGTGCAATTTAAAAAAAAAAAACCACTCTCCAGATGCATTTCTCCTCCACTATGACCTGGTCTCTTTGTCCACCACACCTGATGTGATTTATGCTGAAGACCCTCCGCTGATTCCTTTCAACTCCTCTGCTGCTGGTGTCCTCTCCATGAACTTTCCTGGACCCTCCTCTAAGATATACCATGTTATATTGGTAATATACATGAGTCTGTCTTCTGCATGCAACATGAGCTCCTTGTCAGCAAAGATTAAGTCTTACACATCTTTTAATTTGGTGAGATGTCCAACAAACATGCTGAAGCAAACCTCAACTGCATCTTAGGAATTTAATATATAATGCTGGCAGTTCCCCCATCAAATGGCACTGGGTAAAGTTCAAGAAGCTGGCTGCACCTTCAAGACAGATCTAGTCCTTCTGGAAGACTCAGGGCTATGTAGTTACATGTGACCCTTGGCATTTCAGAGAATAGTCAGATTCTTTAATTTGTGGTCAGTCTCTGATTATCAAAAGAACAACACTGCCTAATCTTAGTTCTCTATTCCGATGAGTTTCTCCGCAGGTTGACCTCTCTAGATCCATCATCAGTCCAAACTCTACACCAGTGTCATAATGTAGCTCATTATTACATATGTTCTTGACAGAAAACTTTAGGTGGAGATGGTAACCAAAGAGGTGGATCCTTTTCCTGTTTCATTGTCATTTTAGACACTCGCTGACATTTAATGAGGATAAAAAGACACTATGGAAGAGGACAGATGAGCAAGGGAAACTAGGTATTTTTTTCCAGGTGCATATTTTCCTTATAAGGGACAGGGTATCTTTGCACTCCTGGGATCAAGTGACCATGCCACCTCAGCCTCCCAAGTAGCTGAGATTATCTGGGTGCTCTACCAGGCCTGGCTTTCAGATATTCTCAAACTGGGTTTCTCAAAAATGCTTCTTTCTTGCTCTGAACCAAGTACTGGCATATTGATGATAAAGCATAAACACTGATTCTAGAAGCAACAGCTTATGTTATCTACAGCAGTATTTTTCTTCTAAGGGATGAATACCAGGAAAATGCCTTCAAATGACTATTTTGAAATACTGAGAAGTAATCTAATCCTACCACCTGGTCATGCATTGTCATGGTGGTAAGCTACCAACCACTGCAGTTTCCTCTACTCTCTTAAGGAACAACCAGAGTAATCTTGGGCCTTAGAATGAGATTCTGAAGACCTCAGACTCATCCATCCCCAGGTCTTGCTAAACCGAAATAGATTACAGTCAAGTATTTAACCAAACTCACACAATATAATTACAGCTAAGTGTTTCCTAGAGAATATGGCAAGCTGAACAGCATATATATTCAACAAATGACACTTACTTTTCTAGTATCACTTCTGATGTGACAGGGTCTTAATTTTCAAACTTAACTATTCAGTGTGATTCATTTTATTTCTCATTTTAAAAATTTAAGCATCACAGAAAAAACCCTTGCTCACTCAGTCTCTTCCCTCATGACCCTCCTTAGTTCTCTCACTGCTGTCACCAGCATCTATCTCAGATAGTCTTGGAATGCAGACTGCTAAGGAATATCCAGCATTGCAAAAGCAACAAACAAAAGCAGCCAAATAAAACCACCAAAACAACAGTAAAAGAAAACACCAAGCATTTCTGTAACTACATACTTTCTTGGTTCATTTTTTGAGATAGGGTTTCACGTAACTCAGTCTGGCCCACCCTCTATCAGGGAGAAGGACCTTGAGTTTCTGATCCTCTTGCTTCTACCTCCCAGTTTCTGGGGATTGAACCCAGGATTTCATTTTTGTTTTTGTTTTCCCAAAACAGAGTTCCTATGTAGCCCTGGCTGTCCTTGAAATCAGAGCTCTACCTACCTCTGCCTCCCAAGTGCTAGGATTAAAGGAGTATGCCATTATCACGCAGATGAACTCAGGACTTTGTGCATACTAAGCAAGCACTCTACCAAGTGAGCTACATCTGAAACCCCTTATTTTTGTTGAGTTTTTTTTTTTTGGGGGGGGGGGGAGTATAAGACAAGATCTTCCTATGTAGCTCAGGCTAGCCTCAAATACCTTGCTTCATCCTCTCAATTACTGGAATTGTAGGCCTGTGAAACCAAAAACTTTAACTGAGCCACGAATGAACACCAAAAACCATGAGTTCCTATGTTGAAGGCAATTGGCTATGAAGAAGGAGGTCCACAGGTAGTATCTTACGTGAAGCTGTACATGTAATAAGGAAAACGCCAGCAAGGAGGCTGGAAAGGTCATTCCAGGCCAATTCTGGAAGGGAGCAGCTAACCCAAGTAGGAAAAAAAGGTTACCTACTGAATTAAGTTCCATAAACAATAGCAGAAGCCTAGAA